CAATTCAGCCTTGTCTCTCAACAAGTTAAGAGTTTTGACATAGTGCTGTTCTCACATAGAGGCTTGCTTATGAAAATGACATTTAAATGCTTTTTTTAAAAGCATACTTTTATAAAATCATCCACTTTTAGAAAGAAAATGTCTAAAGAAGTAGGCTGTTTGCCTCAGCACCTCTTGAAATTTCAGTAATATTGCCATGCATGCACTTGAGAAGACGCATTTCTTCAGTTTGACTTGACATTTTTCACTCCCTAATGTAGAAAGCAGTGTGAGCCAGGACTTGCCAGGAAATATGTCTACTGGTACGTGGCACACCATCTCAGTGAAGTATTAGCTGTTCAGCAACTGGTTGCTTATCCTTTGTGTTACTTGAACAACAAGGATTATGAACTCTTCAGCTACAGTATGAAACACATAAATATGATACATTTCCCAGATCTCATAAAAGTTAAAATGGTGGGTAGAGAATAAAGGGATTACATTATGCAAAAGAAAAAATTGGAATCAGTATGAAGGAAACATTTCCTAACAAAGAAGCCTATTAAATGGTTGAAAAGTCCCTTGTGGGAAGAGGTGGAGGCCTCATCACTTGACGTATTTAAAAACAGACTAGACAAAGCATTCATCTCTACAGGGACAGAGGAAATGGATAAAATTACTTATTAGCCTTTTTTCTACCCATCTCTGGTATCTATGATTTAATACATTTTTTAAAATGCAAACCACATTACACAAGTAAAAGGCTGAAAAACAATAAAATAGTTTTTAATTGTAATGAAACTTGATTTGAAATTAAATTTATGCTAGCAATTCAGACTGCAAGATGACTTCTCTTTGTTTAAGGTCTAGCACTGAAAGCTTTGCTACTGGCACACGCATCTCTAAAAAGATGAGTTACCATCCCCAGACTGGGGATATGTTCTTTGTGCCAGAACTCTTTATAAACTATGATGGTTCAACTTTTGACAAGGGTAGCTGACGTAAAAGGCAGAATGGTGCTTTACAGAAAAGCCGTGGAGTACGGGGTTTGTGCCTAAGGTCTGGCAGACTTACCAACTCCTCAGGAATCTCCAGCACTAAATATTTACTGATGTCACTCAAAGCATAATATCTAATCTGCTAGCATGAAAATAAAAATAGACTCTCAGAACAGTCTCTTTCTATCACTTTGACTATATTAAAATTATTTTAAAATTTTCAGGGTTTTTCCCACTTTTTTTTTAAATCCTTGAAGGCACTGCTCTATTTAAAATAAAGTGCACTGTCTTGCTTTGTAGAAATATGAAAAAATATGGAAAAAAACCAACCCTGACAAACCTAAGGATAGTCAAAATGACCCTATTTAAGAGTGTAACACTGTGGACCTTTCACTTCACCCACCATCCACATAGGAAGATGAAATCATGATGTAGAACTCCTGAAGAAGAAATCACAATGCACAACTGAAGTGAACTGTCCCAGAGGTAATGCTGGGGTGGGTGTTGAATCATGGTGGTCCTCAGGCCTCCCACTAGTTTTGAACCAGCCGAGACTAGGCAGGATGTGGCCACATGTTTTCCTTGCCTTGACATCAAAACTATTTTAACAATGTGCTGCCATTTCCCCTCTGCACCCTGTTCAGTCTTGCATCCTGGGTGCAATTTACCATCTTTTCAGTATTAGTCTTGTTGTGCTAGACTGGGCTGAAAAGTCAGTGTAGCAGAAAATATTACTTCATTTCATAATACTGTTTACCCCCAATTCAATGTAGCCTTGTTCCAGCAGAGGGGGCAGAAAAGTAAGGGGAATAGTGAATTTAATCTATCCCTAGAACCAGATAGAATTAGGAAAAACAATGGTCCGGTACCCGAATCACAAGGACCTCCCTCAGAAATATCATCCACCTTCCTGTGAACCTCCTCAGTTCCTTTTCCTCTGATTGAAGTGATGTGTGGTCATTTAGCTGGAAAGCTGTGTTTTCCTGTACTGTGCTTGTCTATTTGGCTGTGTGCTGCTGGACTTATCTGTACCTTCAGGTAATAAAGTTCATTCGGAACAGTGTCTATCCTTGGATACATCGTAAAATGCTGGCAACTCTGAAGTTTGCAGGTGGTGTTATCAGGAAGAGCATTTGCCTAGTTTAAACAACTCCCTCCTGAGGAGAAGAGGAGGGGCAGACAGGCTGGAACAGGCTCCCCGGGGAAGTGGACACAGTACCAAGCCTGACAGAGTTCAAGAAGCATTTGGGTGATACTCTCGGGCACATGCCATGACTCTTGGGGATGGTCTTGTGCAGGGATAGGAGTTGGACTTAATGATCCTTGTGGGTCTTTTCCAACTCAACATATTCTGTGATCCTGTGAAGCGTTTTATATTAGCATGTAGAGTTTTGCGGGCATATAATTGATAGAGTACAACAAACGCCCAATGCAACTAAATCAAATACATCAACCCTTATTTTGGGAGTATGCCCAAATCTAAGGATGTTTTTAAATTAGAATAAAGTTCAATACTTTCCCATTTGGAAAGTAAAAATATTCAACTGTAATTTTAATTACCAAATGAATTTTAAACCCCAGAAGAGTCAGTTTGAAAAACAATAAAATGTTTGCAGTAGCTCTACCCCAAAATCCTTATTTAAAACACAGTCCCTTTGTCCAGGCACAGACCCCTCTCTGCTTTCCACAGCTTCTCAGCCACAGCACAACCCCAACCCCACATCCTATTTATGAACCCGCAGGCTTTGCATTCCACTCTCTAGAGCAGTGCCTTCAAGGATTTAAGAGTAACCAACTCTCTGTTAATTGTCCTTTGGGCTCTGGACTCAGGCCACACTGGCAGAGCTTCATCCCTCGCTGAGTCCTGCTCAGAGAATGGTCCAGCTCAGAGCATCCTTCCTATGTTGTGCCTAGCAACTACTACTGCATCATCCTGCCCCAGCCCTCAGGGGATATCACTATATCACACTGTAAATGAGCAGTTGGTGAGGATACAATCTGCATCCATAGGATAAGCAGGAATTAAAAAAAAAAAATCTCATTTGGACAAAATTAATCCTGTAGTAATGAATTTATAATACTTTTTAACCAGTTGAGTCATAAGTCTGGGCATAGCAGGAATAAATCCCGCTGAAAGGGAATTGCCTTGGTGTGCAGGTAGTATTTCACAACCACAGGAGCCATTACTTTCCAGGAATAGAAAAACAGTCAGAGAGGGAGAAGGAAAAGCAGGCAGGCAAGTATGCCAGACTTGATTTTAGCCCCATTTACATGGATTTCATCAGAGTTATTCCACTGCAGAGGACACAAGAGCTTTCAGTTCTAAGTCTTAAGGATGGTAGAGAATAAAAATAAGAGAAGAGTAATATCTGAAGTTCCTCTAGGCTCACAGCAAATATCTTTTCCACAAATAATTGAGATTAACCTCCCAGCAATTCTTAATGGCCATATTGTAAGTGACATAGGTATTTTATGACACCAAAGCTGTAATAATGTGCTCTGGGTGAGCGGCAGAATAGCTATACAATCACTATGTTTTTGCACGCTTGCATTTTTGAGTGGGTTAGTATTGCAGCACAGCCTAAAACAGCAGTATAAATTTAATGGGCTGGCAGTCTTAAAAATAGGGAAGTATAATAACAGCTGTATTTATTTTTGCTGTGATATGTAACTGGTACCACTGTATCAGCCCAATCTTGCTGAGATTAGGTTCTCCTTTAAAACAGAAAAGAAAATACCTGGTACTGGAGCTAAGATAAACCTAGTCAGATGAAAATCAAATCAGAAAGACAACAGGTAGCACTGTAGAACATGTGCAAAGGTAATACATATACATCACACATTTGCAAAACCTACTTCCTCTATCAGTCAGCCCTTTATTAGAGACATTTGTATGCAGACAAATTGAACAAATCCTAAAACATGTAAATCCCTAACACTACAAATACATCTTTTTCCCAAAGTTATGAAGTACTATAAAACCACATAGGTTTCTTTTTTTTTTTACTTTTTGACATGGTTGTTGTTGGATATTTAAAATTTATGAGTTCATAGATGAGTCAAACCTCGCAGTATACCAGAACTGGAGATGATACCTCTTCTAACTACATGTGCTTTACCACAAACATTAAAAACAATTACTTAGGAATAGTTATTTCTAGGAATTCTGAAAATATTTTAGTTATAATTATTGTCATTACAGAAAAGTCTGAAACATTTCCTTTAATCATTCAATACACAGCTCCATAACCCCATACACTTGAAAACTATAATTTTGCTATAAGTTTTCTTCTTACATATGTGTCTATATGTACATACACGCACATATATACGCACTATTAGAAAATGAGTGTCAAGAAAAGCAGGACCTTTACATTTCCATATTTTTCTCTATATTTGCAATAGGAATATAACTGTAGATAGCACTTTTGCCATCTACAAAAATTGGACCAACTCAACTTCAAATCCTCTTGACAGACACAGCAACCACCTGGGCTCTGCTTTTCCCACTGTCATTTTTCATTCTTACCAAAGTCTGTTTGCTCTAAGAGTATATTGTTAGGCCATACATTCATTTTTGTTAGGCCATACATTCAGTTTTCATGCAACAAACCCCTCTCCCTTTTACACAACCCTGAAATGACTGAATCTTGTGTCTAAAACCAGGCTTGCACTGCTCAACTCCTCAGCTTGTTCTCTGCTGTGCACAGGAAAATCAGTTTGCAGTTGTGGCATTGACTAGACCTAGTTATACACATAAACATTAAATATTACTTATTTTTGTGCTCTTCCAGTAGTTCAAAAAGTAGCCTAAACCATGCAACATACAAGCACGCCTTACAGGGCCTGGGTCTATTTGTGGAATGATACCAGTAATTCCTCTGAGCTTCACTAATCAAGGCATTCTAATTGCCACATCTAGAGTGCCATCAACTCACAATGGTGACAGAGGGAGTTCAGAATATTAAACATTTTGAAGAACTATGCCTTAAACAGAAACCCTCCCAAAGTCATAGTATCTCCTTTGCTCATTCTGTGAACTCAGAAAGAAAAAAAAAGTGAACGAAAAACCAGTTAACCATTTTAGAACTTTTCTCCAATTTGTATTAGCGATTAAAGATCCATTTCTTAATGGCTGGGAACAAAAGTCTGTCTTGAGATATGAAGTCACATAAGCCAAATTCTCCAGCATAACTACCGCAGAGTACATGTGCATAAGGTTGTTCATTTGTTAGGAGGACTAGTGGCTTGGAAACGTGTGTGGTGGTGGAAATGCTGGAAGGGAGGGTAAGTACAACGTATCTAGAGAAGTCTGCAGAGCTCTGAACTCTCAAAGGGAAGCCTTAAGGTATATGTACACTGAAATAAGCGCACCTGAAGAACAGCAAATGTGTGGCTGGGTCTCTGGAAGTACTCACTATCAGGAATATTTTGCAGTGAGATGCAATTGTGTGATAAGAAAAATGGGCTTCTCTTTGGGGAAAGTGTTCTGGAGACATGTTTTTAGCATGGTAAAAAAAAAAAGATTCCTCATTTTGCAGAATATGACGAGACTATAATCATTGGCCTCCTACACGTATTTTTGCTATAACAAGAACTAAAAAAAGCAACGGTATCTTGTCTTATTCTTCATATAACATTAACTAACAAAGTGATTTAATTTGTTATAAGTAAAAATGGACGATAAACAACAGATATCCCAAAACATGAGATGCTTTGGGTGAAGACATGTAGTACTTGGACCTGGAAGGTGCCTGTTACAATTATTTCTTTCCACAATTATCCAGGGTGGATCCCACAGCCTGGACTGACTTGATGAAGCCAATAGAAAGCAAAGGGCTACTCATTTAAACAGTGGCAGCAGCAGGCTGCACCAAGTTTGGCAATTTTGCTTTATCCCTTTCTAAAACTTGGCCTTTTAAAATCAACATGTAAATTTTATTTCCAATTTTTAGCTCAAGAAAAGCTCGGTGTGGGAGGAACCAATTTCAGTAGAAAAAAAAAAAAAGGACCATATAGCTAGGGCTACTGCTTCCATTTAGTGGGATGGACAACAATAAGAATAAATAAGAATACAAAGACAGGATAAATTAACTATGCTACACATCTGGTAACACATCTTATTTTACTGTATTTGTTATCAAGATGACATGCAGTCTAGAACTTCATGGCAAACACACTGGCAAAAGCCATAAATCATGAGAATAACAAGGCTCGAAGGAACAAGGCTTACAAAGACAACCCCAAGGGTAACTTTCTTAGATACCAGTAAATAAATCCCTAAAGGCAAGGAACTAAAGTACAGTAAACCTAGCAACCACACTAGCACCCGAATTGAGGTCTGGAAGAGCAAGGATGTGCAGTTCCACACTGTCCAGTTGTGGGACACAGTTGCAACAGAGTCAAAACTTGTAGGCCTGTAAAATTCTACTACAGGGGTTGAGTTCAGAGTCTGGGGACTTTCTCTTTGTACTTCCATGATTGTTATAACCAGGCAATTAGAAGAGGTGTGAGAAGGGCTAACCAGGGATGCCAGCCTTTTGGGAGTCAGCAACAGTTCTGTTGGGTTGTCTGGTAGGCACTTCTTTCCCTTTCCCCCACAAGCTAAATTTAGAAGGATGTTGTTGTCATCAGGAAGACTACTAACCTCATCATCTGGCAGGCACGTTTCAAACCTGCAAAACGGGCACACTATGACTCCTTGTGGGGAATCACCGAAGTCTATGATCTTGCAAAGGCATTTGGCACATACTCTGTGACAACACTCCAGCACTTTTGGTTTTCTCTGTCGCAAGTTATAGCGGTTGTAACATATCTTGCACTCAAGCTCATCTGAGGTCTGGGTCTCCACGGACTCCTCTGGTAGCTGGGTGGTCATTTCTTCAGATGGTTTTCGGGCTTGCGGAAAGAGAAGTCAAGGGATGAAGAGGTCACTCAGTCTTAAAACTTTTTCCTATCACACATCTCAAACAGGAAAAAAGGAGATGACATCATTGAAAAGCATCAGTAGGCATCATCCATTTTCAGCTTCTGCTAAAAACTGTGCGCTGCGTGTCCTTTAGTCTGAGCCAGGCATCCATCTGAAAAAAACAAAGTGGAAGGTAAAGGAAAAAGCAAGAAAAGAAAAGGGAAGGGAAAAGGAAAAGGGAAAGGGAGAAAGAGAGGGACAAGGCAAGGGAGAGGGAGAGACAAAGGAACAGCTTTAGCAGGTGAAATATACAAGTTCTAATTTTTACAAGATCAGCTTCCTTTGCTAGAAGTACCTCTAAGGTAATTTTTTCCTGTGGCATATGGGGCCTATATAACAGTCACGCTGATAAAACGGCATCATGCTGCACAGATTTGTTTTAGACTTGTAGCTCTGACTGGCTCAGCCCATGAATTTCTCAGCAGAAGATGCAATCTAATCACTGATCTGTGACAGTTTGTTTAAATTCTGGTTTCCTAAGGAAATGAGACCCGACCCCTGGAGCTTTTGGTCTTTCCTGGTAACTTGTGAACCCGCTGACCAATTTCAAACAAATCAGCAGAGGGGCCACAGTATTGAAGATAATTATGTTTCTAAAAGGAAATGAACACTGGAGATTGGTTGGAGGAGAGATATTTGTGATAACTACCATTTATCCTGGAGGGTAATGGCCAGCCAGCAAACCCCTCTCTCTGCTCTGAACAGGCAGCATACTACCTATTGCTAAGCCAGAGAGGAGTACAACCTAGGGGGAAACTGGTGATATTCTGGGGAAATAAAGAGTTTGGGGGAGTGGAGTAGGTGTGAAAGAGGGCTAGGGTTATTGCAAAGAATTATGTGGGGACCTAGGTCAAATTTGGAAAAGATCAGGCTTTATGAATTTTTCTGCTTGTGGAACAGTTCATTTTCTCCACCCAGCTGCAGGACACATGATTACAAAAAGGAGTGTTCTTTAGCTTGCAACAAATGTCTCCTTGGATATGTGGCTGCTAGGGTGAAAGCTAACGTGTCTCTCAAGGGCATTTGCCAGATGCACTGGTTTTCAAGTGTTTCATGACTGTGACAGCTGTTTCACACCTCAGCTGAGGAAAGGGCTGTGGCACACTTGGTGGTGCTGCACTCCCACTCTGCGCAGCAGTTTTGCCACCAGACCCATCAGCTTCCCTTAAACAAATATCTTATTTTGTAACCATGCATTTTCATGACTTCGGGAAGCAGTTCTTGTACTATAAACAAGAAATTAAGCAGGACTATGTACTCTGGGTATCAAAAATCACCAGCAGTTGGAAAAGCAGCTCTATCTGACAGAAGACAAAAACTTGTTCCAAATTCAGGCATATCAAGAAAAGGGGGCAGCATTGCATTTTGCAGGCTTTCAAACTCTGCCTTCACTGCTAGAGTAGCAAGGAACTTGCCACAGTCAAATGATGGGGTCAGCACTTGTGTCCGGCTGCCTTTTGCATTATCAGTAAATATCAGGCACACTGAATATGAAAAAGTGGCCTCTTTCACTAAACTTATTTCTTGACTGTGCATTTCAGTAAATGTTTGATTGCTTTACCTTTTGCTTGGTAAGTTTTTACTCACTCCTAGCATTCAGATCTTCGTCCTTTTTTTTTGAGGTCAAGGCAGGAAGCAACTCTTTTAAGCAATGTGATCCTTCCGTCAATACATTTTACCTGTCAACCATCAGGTACACTAAAGTCTCTTTCATGGGCCTCTTCTTCTTATTGTGCTTTAAGTATTTTCCCTTTTCTCTCTTAACTTTCTGTAAAACCATCAGAGGACGGAAAGACATAACAGAGAAGGATATATAACTTCTATAAGCAACATAATTTCTAAAACTCATCCCCTGGATTTTAAAACAAAGATGTAAACATCAGACAATGCAGTAATGAAAAAACATGACAGCATAGTGAACAAATCCCACATATTTCTGTACGAATTGTTACAGACATGGCCCCCTCTCCATTCAATTATCTCAATAACTCTTTTCTTGCCTCTTCCAAATTATTTCTTTAGTGGCCTAAAAGTTTTCATCTCTGCCTGACTGTTGTTTTTATTATTTGTACTGTGACTGTATTTCTGGTGTGTTCCATTAGGCAAGGCAAACACAGGGCCATTCACAGTTTTCAAAGTATACAGGCTAAACATCTTCTAAGACACAAAAAGAACATCTTCTACAGAACTTATAACCTATCTTTTATCCTTTGTTACACTGTATGCTTCTCAGTTAATTTCTACTCCTCTTTTTATTTCATTCCAAATATCATCTTCTAGATGACTTTTAGGTAGATATAAATGTCATGAGATGCTAACTTTCCAAAGGATGAAGAAACCACAAAATGGACCAAAAAAAGTGAAATGCCAGCCTACAGGAAGGCAAAGCACTCCTGAAAAATTAAGAAGCTAAATAAAAAAGCGATGGTTTTGAACTTGTACATCTTGACTATCATTTATCTTCAATACCTGAGGTGAATTAGGATTATTAACAAACTAAGGCTGGCAAACATTGTCCTATGATATAAGACTAGACTCATGATAAACCAAAAACCTTCCAGAAAACGGTTTTTTTTTCTGCTTCTCATGGAAAATTATGACCTTTCTCTGAAAACTCCCAACTCGAAAAATCTTTGTATTTTAGTGTTTATCTTTCTAACGAATATGATCAGTCTGCTTTCCAACCAATTCTATTTGGACATGGATCACTTCTCTCTGAATCAGCTTTCAAACTGAATATGTTTTCCTGTATGGCTCCTATAAGTGCCAAAATTTAGCACTGAAACAAGGAATAGCAAGTCCCTGGGACTAGCAATGTCCCAGATGCTAAACTGGGATTACTAGCTCCACGTCCAGAGCACAATGATCCTCCTACTGTAGTTTCTGTCATGAGTTAGTCTACAAATTATTTTCAGACATTTTTTCTTTAATGGACTGTACAAGATGCTTCACAGAGTCTCTACAAAGCATATCCATCAATAATAAAACATCATTGATTATTTTTTCTTTGGCTAACTTCAGATGTTGGATTTCTCCTTATGTGTTCTAGTATGAACACTGCTTACTACTATCCGTTATTTATACATCTTTTCCTTTGAAAATCAAAATTTAATCACCAGTTCCTATTGATGCTCTTCATACATTTTTTACCTTCTCAGCTCTGTGGTAGTTTTAGATGCTTTCTCTGACTTTTTTGCTTTTCTGATTTCTTACAGAATTTTTTTATTTTTCCTTCTCTACACCCACTTTCCTGCTCCTTTTTTTTTTTCTCTGCTGGGAACTGACACCTTTTTGAACTTAAATAATGCTGCCCTTACATTAAATACACCACATACACTAAAAAGTTCTCTGATCCAGATCTGAGGATTTTATAGAAATCTGACTTCAAATTATTCCTATTTCTTGAGGAAATGAAATGCTTCTTGAGAAATATGGCCAGCTACTTCTTCAAGCAAATTCTACTCCATGTGAAAGCTTTTCTAGCTTGTCTTCTGCATGCCTCCCAGGTGGGTATTCACTGGAAGCAGGCAGAATAAGGAATTAAAGAATGGAATAGCTTAACTGCTACCCCTCTGAACCCTGTTCCCTCACCAAAAAGGTGACAATTCACATACTTCTGCTTGCTGTGTGTTGAAAGCAATACTACACAGAAAAAAAAAAAAGTGATTGTGTCTGTATGTTCATGTTTTGTCCTCCTCTTCAAGACACATTTTTTATAATGCCATGAGAAGGTATGTCCCTATTACATGCTCCAATACTCCATTAATATTTGGGCTATATTAAATACTGGACTACAACTTGCATGTAGTTGCAACTGACCTTGACATCCAGCGGGTGGTCCAGTAAAAAGTCCTGAGTGCAAGTCCTATGATGAGCCTAACCTCGTTCTCTTCAACTCAAAAATTGCTAGTGATTGGAGGTCAGAGTGAGGTCCCATGTCTATTTTGAAAGCATTGAGTTTATTTTTATTAATTCTGTCATTCGTTTAAACCACTCCTTATGTCTAGTTTTCCACCTGAACTTATTTTAGATAGAGTTATCTGATCTGCCAACAGACATGAGTTATAGCCAGGGAAACTTCAATTAGAGATTAAAAAACCCACAATATTTCACAAAGGTATTCAAACACTGGAACCAGTGTCAAGATAGGTGAAAATGAAATCTTCAGCCTTACAGATACTGAAAAGTTCACTGGATACAACCCTGGTCAGGCCAGTCTACCTTGGAATTTGATCCTGCTGTGAGCAGAGGAAACTGGATTTTTGCAGACATTCCTTCTAACTGAAATTATTCTATGATTCACTGCTTTTGTATCCTGAAGTCATTCTATGTGATCTGTTTGAGAAGCTTTGTCCCTTACTGAGTAAGGTATCAGGTTGACATTTGTCTGTATAGCTAAACAACTCTCCAAGATACTAGTTCTTTTATTTAATATATGAATTAATTTTTACAAGCAAACCTAGAGACCTTCTGCCATTTTGTCTTCCACAGAACCTATCTGATGGGATCAGCACAATCCAATTGCAAAACTTCTCATTCCTGTGTCTAATATGTAGCACATAGCAGCTTTCTGAACAAAATATTAACTACTAGACACGTACAATGATGACAGCATCCACTGCAGTTTATTCAAGAACAAGCACATCTGTTACACTACGACAAGCACTTGCCTTTTGTAGGAGTCCTGACTAAGTACTGCAGGAGTGAATCCATCATTCCCATTGCTGCTTGAGCTCTGACTCCCTCTCTTCCCCTTCCTGTATCTTACAAGCTTCTTTATCTGAACATTTTACTAAAAAGGGAAAAAAGTTGAAGCCAGAGAGGCATCTTCTGGACAGCAGAAGATCACCAGCAGTCCTCACAATTGACTGCTGGAGGGCAGTCCCAGAAGCAGGGGGAATATCCTCCCTTGAGAGCAAGAGGAGGAGACCGACGGAACAAGATGGAATAAATAATAGCAAGCTCTTGTGTGTGGCCCCAGGTATGGCCAGACAGAGAGCATTGAACTACATCAGCCCAAACAGGCCACTGGCCATTGATCAGTTTTCTACTAATTACTGCTCTGCAACTGCAGGCTTTCTTCCCAGGCATGGAAAGAAAGGTGAATAGGCTCTGCGACATGTTATGGCCCTTCTTTGCACTCATCTATCAAACACTGTGTAGACAAAGTGTTAATATGAGAGACCAGAAGAATTACTTGTAAATGAAACTCTCGATATTGAAGCTCAGTCATGCTGACAGGGCAAAGTAGATGGGAAATTTGTGCTTCTCCTCCCTAATGAGAGATCATCTTTGCCCAGTTCATCAAACCAACCTTTTATCATTCATCTCTGGCACTATTTTTTTTCCAGGGAATTTGCCAATATTTCACATATAACCTAAAATGAATATATGAGGTCAGCAAGGAACTTCCGTAAGATATCATCCATGGAGCCAACCAACATGCAATATTTTCAAAGGCTTTAAAAGTTTCCTCTAAACGCAAACCAAGCATATTTAGGAAATATGAGAAGGGAAGTAGACAGGAAAAGGAATACAGAGAAACTTACTTTCCAAGAAAAAGAACTTCTTCCTAAGTTTCACTTGAGAGCACACAAGAAATACCTATTCTTCTCCACACAGGCAAAAACTGGTGGAAAAGAGGGAAACAAAATTAGTAGAGTAGGAATACAGCTGGGAGATTTTTCAGTCTGTTTTCTCGGAAAGAGAGGAAGTAGTCCAACTTCTCTAGTTTGGATAGAAATACCCATATGTTAAGATTTTCATTTAGGGAAATATATTGGGTAAATCCCATTTACTAAAATTATTTCTGTAACATAATCCAGTTATCTTTATAGATCTGTTGTTGATTTTAAGCTTCTTTCAATATTATGCGCTAAACACTCTGAAGTGCTATCTCTTCTAGAAACCACATATTCACAAATGTTAGCAATTCACTAAAAAAAAAAAACCAAAGGCAAAGTAACCAAAGAGATAAACTGTGCTTTGAAATGAGAGTTGTAAAAACATATCAAAATACTTTCCTTCACAAGTGTCATAGAAGCTCTTTGATCACTTCTACTTTTCCAAACAAGCTGCAGTCTCTTCTCCAACACAGACCAGAAAGGAACCATCTCCTGTGGGCCACTGCATTCACATTTGAGCAGCTTTGCTGCATTCTGACTCAGCAGGAAATGACCATCACACTCGATTTTTCCAGCTTGTGTTAAGCACAATGCAAAAAAACCCACCCCAAACTGCTTTACTAATCTGACATTTGAATAGACTACATTCAAAGTGCCAGCAGCTATCACACATTCAACCTGTTTCATGCCACATTTTGCTAACAGTGGATGGGTTTTAACAATGGGCATTTCCCTGTCAAATCCAATCAATGGGAGACTTAGCACCAGAGCTACAGAATGTGACGTACTGATCCATGCTCAGTTTATGGTCAGCTGTATAAACTGTTATGAAAAATGCCTCCATTCTTTTTTTTCACAGAAACTTTGTTTTCAATGGCATAGGTAATGAGGTTGTTCCTTCAATAACTATGCATGAAAGAGAAACACTGCAACATATACAGCAAAGAGTTGTGTATTATTGACTGCTTCACAAGAGACTAATACAAAACAGAAGCGTGTTTATCAGAAGTTATAATTACAATATTTAGGGTTCTCTCTTGATTTCTCTCAATCCTCTACAATAATGTCAAAAAAATTCAAAATACAGCAAGTTACAGTTTTTCATATTTGAAGTGGAATTCATGGGTCTCTATTCATGTAGTTGAGAAGTCATGTAATACTAAGGTATCATCTCATACTAAAAAAATCCCCAAACCAGTACATTTTTTTTTTCTTTTTATTATTCCTCCCCTCCTGGCATCCTGTTAAGTAAGCATGGAGATTTTCATCTAACACAGGGTTCACTTAATTCACTGTAGTGACATTGGCTCTTAGGGTACTTGTCTACATCCTTTGCATGTGCACATTCAATATCATCAGACCCCATTTCTTTTTAACATTATAATTTGCAGTACTTTTTCATTATTCCCCTAACTCACATTACATGTCAGGTAGTAGTGGAAAATGGTATGAATAAACAGTGAGTGCCTTATTGAAATCCTACTATTCTCAATTACTTACTTTCTAGCTACGGGCTACTACAGTATTGATATGAATCTTGAAGCTGACTATGGTGTAGAAAAAAAATGTTTTATTATTTAGGCTTGTAGGCAATAGCATAACCTCTTCCAATATTTCTTAAGAAGAAATTCTCCTTCATATAGAATTCATGAGCTATTTATATAGCAATATGCCAAATGACTTCTTAATGTGACATACGGTTGTGGGTTGCTTTGCAGCTGTTTTAAGAATAAAACTAATAAAGGACAAAGGATCTGAGCTCTTACGAGTTGTCTTGGTTTAAATTGGCTTAATTAGATTAGGCTGATAAGTAAAAGGAGGTGGCTCGAAATTTGTATCTAAAATGGTAACTTTTAATTTTGGAAATACACTAGTTAGAATTAATTCCTTTAAAATTATTTTTAATTGTTTCATGACCTGCTTTGCTTGGGCTTTTTAGCATTTTCTCTTGTACGGTTTTCTCACTGCCAGTGGCTTTTCCTTTATGACTCTGAAACCAATAAATGATCTACTTCAGTGAAAATATATTTCATTATAGAACTCATGACGTTACTATTATTTCAGGAAAAGGTTAGACATTCTCCTTTTTGGTAGTGGAGGGGGGAGGGGGTGGCAGTTTTATCAAATACGATAGAATTCTGTTACTCTGCTTTAGTGCTTATGCCCTTTAGAAGCTCTTCTGAGAACTGAAAAGACTGTAGGACATGGACTCTAGAATATGACTTGAAAAGATACAAAATTATAAATAAATAAAAAGCTTCCCAGTATTTCTTAATATAGGCATAAATATTTAATTATATGACCTACAGATATGTCTAGCATTTATCTTTATATTAGACATTATTAAAAGCCAATATGATTTTTGTATTAGGTTTCAGAACACATAATGATAGCACCATAGAATTTTACATCCTTGCTTTGCTAGCTACTGTATGCTTGAATGTAAGTAATTAAAATTAGTCCAGAAATGCAAGCAAATAACTTCTACTTTTTAAATGAAAATTATTTGTGCTGGAAGATATGAAGTGACATACTCAAAATGTAAGATCCCCAAAATATGACAGAATCCCTTTCTTTGAACGTATTTTCTATGTTATATAATTTGGGAGGGACCAGGTGAGACAAAATCACAGAAAATGAAACTTGATTACATCATGCAGGGAGAAATTCCTCTTCACACATGGGAATTATTTTAATGTATTATAAGTTCCAATTAACCTTCAAAATAAGATTTAAATAGAAAGTAAATGTGGCATTAGCTTTGTTCTAATGAAGCTGAAAACAATCCCAGAATAGACTAGAAATCAATCTGTAGCTTCTTGCTTTTTCTATTGTCATCAAGAACAATCCATCTAATACAAGTATTAGTGAACTTGGTTCATTCTGTTTCAGACATTTTTGAGGATATGATTATATATAAAGATTTTACTGTATTGTCCATTTTATCTCAACTGACTAGAGCAAACAGGAAATAAAAAGGGTAGGGCAGTACTGAGTACAGAGCAGTACTGCCACTGAATTTTATGTATTCTTTACATATATTTGGTAACAAGGTTTTCTGCTTTAACTACTGCTCACAATTTGCATGTTACCCTGTGCAGAAAGGCAATGGTAAAAAACAACTGCAGTCACACAATGTTTGAAAACTGAATGTCAAAATATTCCAACTTCAATACAGATTTCCACTTACAAACAACTTTTCCAGACCTGGTCTTACACCATCATGTCCTTTTTGAAATGCTGGCAAGCGTAATCTAACGTAGCTGATGTTGCAGAAAGTACTAATATCTTGAAACGTAAGGGGTCTGAGGAAACACTTTAACCTGGATGCAGTAAAGTGTAATTTTAATATTTACTTTAGTTCATTTAAAGCACACATCTAAAAATAGTTATTGCTGGGAAAAAAATTATTTTTATTTTAGCAGTATAGCAATAGTTGACATATAATCCCTCCCAGTGTGACATTATTATATCTATTATTATAATAACATCATTATTATCACTAGAATATTGATGTAACTAAGAAAAAAATTTCAAAAAATCTTATTGGTGTATTTTTTAAAAAAGTAAACACAAAACCCTGAGATGCCATAAAAATACAATATTAGTAGATCTTGTTGACATGCAGTAAAGTTAAGTTGTATGTCTTCAACTGCATTCAGGGGAAATGAATGATCCTGATGGACAAGTGTCAATGAGAAGGTATTTACTTTGACAGTAACATGTACTGCCCTCTAAGAAAGTATTTGCAAGAAAAAGTCCATTTGGCCTGATTTATACACCATATCCAATGAGCAGTTACTGTGTGCACATCCACCACTCTAGATGCAGGTACGTGAAATAAAATGCATGCATTTAAAAAGTGAACGGAAGCACTTTAATTTATGTCAAATGATACACGCAGCTTTTATTCTATTCCTTTAAGGAATACAGGATCATGTTAAACAAGAGCAGATTTAAGTATTGCTCTGGAAGCATCTTTGTAGCTACTGGGGTTGATCCAGGACTGTCAGAGCTCCATAAATTGCTACATAACCAATCTCAGAATCATTGGAGTGTTCTGCTGGTGAGACTTGCTTACTGAGATTAATGCTTATAAAGGACATAAACTTCAGGGGGATTGATATAAATTGCTCTGCTTTTAACATGTTATTTAGCAGTGAAATGTGGTATTTTTTTTGCCCATTCTGAACTCTCAGTGAGAGCTGAAGTGCTACTGGATGGAATACTTCAAATAAAGGACAGAATCCTTATGGGCTGAGATTCTATATACAGCAATAATATAGGGACTACACTCTGTAAGCAGACACTTTGGTACGATTGCTTTCCCAAGAGAAATCCTCTCCATTGGTAGTCTCCATGTCTCCTTGAGAGTTAGCTTTGGAGTTTCTTCAGTGGACAAAAGAAAAATCATCTCTACTTACTACGTTTATGTCATCCCATTCTACATCATCCCTAAAGCACACAGGAATCTGTGAGGATGAGCTAAAATATGATATCTTCTGGGTATTTCTGAAGGTACCATGGTCACCAGGGGTTGCCCTGAGACCCCTGGTTAGTGCTACTTCATTGAGCACGTTCAGGCCTGGAGTGCCCTTCGGACTGGATAAGAGGAGCAGGAAGATGCTGCAATTAGAATCCAGTTAAGAATGCTGTGTACCTCCCTCACATGTGTTTCTGATAGAAATATACTGTCTCTTACTGCCACAGCAGCAAATCCAATCAGGTCTAAATCGGATCAACACAAAGCTGCAAAAAATTGTTATAAGCAAGAGCTGCATAATTCTATTTCAGGACAAGGACAACCTGGACTTTACAAATTTTCCACCATCCTAAAGAGTTACACTGACCAAGTCTCATGGACTCAATGAAAGGTATGAAACTGTCTTTGCGTTGAGCAGAGCTCCAGCATTTTGATGTCATTTGTAACTACAACAGTTGAAAGGTTAAACTAAATGGAAGTGTTTGAAGTCTGCTAGTTGAGCACATTTAAAATACAAAATGC